CATTTATTTAAAGATCACTGCAATGGCCTTTAAAAAAAACTAATACACCTGAGAGCTTTTGTATAACAATAGATCTTTGATTCCCCCCAACAATAGAACCTGAAATATAAAATCACAGAGCCCCTCTGCAATTACAATTTATGCCCTTCTTGGGATTTGTTTTTCACATATACAATTAAAATTAATAACCCCTCTATTGGTCATTGTGGTTGCTGTTTGTATGCAACTGAGTCACTGTTATAAACTCATTAAAATTGTAGTTCACCTGTGGGGTCCTGGCATCAAGTGTCAACAAAAAGCTTTCAGCATGGAATTACTGCCTCGGTTTTTTGTAGTTCCAAGGTTTCATGTAGGAAATATTCTTCTCCTAATATGGATCAGGCCACAGCAGGCATCCCGCTGAATCATTCTGAGCAACTTATAGGAGAAATACCCCATTTTTATTATATTGTGGTGAGCTTAAGCGAAAGGGGGAGACAGAGATCTCTACTTTGGGAAGCAGAGCAAAGTGTGAGTGTAAAAAACAAAATGAAAACAATCTTGAACGGGTGGACTAGTGCATTACTCTACTGCGGCCTATGAGAAGGTAAGTAGCACGCAGGCAGCCACACTGACCAACCTCACATAAATTGGTAAAAGCCAACATGATTGGGTCACATACGAAATGTTCCCAGAGTCTCAGTTCTGAATTCCTCGGGTCACTGTACACCTTTATGGAATAACACCACCTTGCCTCCAACAGACATGACCGGGATCACCATCACTAATTTGAAACCAGAAACTACATATGAGGTCAGGATGTCCGCCATCAATGGGAAAGGTGAAGGCGAGAGCAGCCAGGCCAGCACTTTCAAGACTGAGCCAGTCCGTAAGTACTCCCCTCGCTTCTTGCTCCTGCTCTAAGTGCTCCTCTGACCCAAATGCTTTGAACCTAATGCCGTAGCTCACTCCGCTGCCTCCCCGTGTCTAGCTGTGCCCAGATGCTTTCACCATTACGTTCCTCTATTCTCATGCCAAGCCCCCAGCGCAATCCTTTTCCATCCAGGCCAGAAGAAACGATAACTCACGACGACGCCGTCACTCCATGATCCAACTTTGTTAATAGGGTTAACGATGCAATGTGTAACCTACCTCTCCTTCATCACCTAGCACTTTTATGTACCTCTTTTTTTTGGTGAATGTTTGCAGCGTGTAAGTCTGAATGAACCCTCGTCTTCATAGCCCACAGCTCAGGTGATTTACTGAAAGCTTTCTGCAAAGTACGTGCACATTCTTAAAGCTGATTTATACTTCAGTGTGAAGGAGTGTTGTCTCTGTATTTATAGTTCAGTGACAGCATGCATTTTTAATGTAGCAGCCACACATCGAGTCCTGCTGAGAATTGTTTATATTTTCTGATAGTGATGGCAGAGCATGATGAATTACTGGATATTTTAGAAGGTCAAGAACATTTTCTATTTAACGGCGTTAAAGCGGGTTTGGTGGATATTCTGGACATATTTGTCATTGCCCTTGGTGCTTCCTATATATCACAGCTTAGTTAGTTAGACATATGGGGCAAACTTTACATCAAAGAGCAGGTATGTGACACTTGTCATCACCAGGATGTGTCGGCCTGACATGAAATGTGACTTTGAGTGTATTTTTGTCACACGCTTCTCACTGAAGTATAAATTGGGCCAGATAGTAGTGTAAATACGCGTACATTCTGCATTTTGATTCTCTTTCAAATCCAAATCATATAGCAAAAATGATCCAGTAACTGCTGTTTAACATGATAACAAGTGATTGCACATTGTAACATAGTAAAAAATAATAAGGATGTAAATTCACGGGAGAGGAAACAGAGCTTTTTATCAGTCAGCACTTCAAACCAAGGTCAGGAATAAATCTTTGTCTTATTTTGTGCCTGCCTTCATGTCACACTTCCATTTGTGTGCTTCTTCACCCCCCCCTTTAGAAATAGCTCCTCAGCATCCTCTTATTTTGCTTTCAGTAAAAAAACAAAAACAAATCTCTTCCCTGTGTTCATTATGCTTATTTTGGAAACCCTTTTAACTTGAAGTTCAGCTCAGACGTTACAAAAATTGACTAAAATTTGATGGAGGAATCATATTAGATGCTGTAATCAGTTTGTATCAGAACGGGGGGGGGGTTTATCAGCCGCAAATCCAGATTCCTTACCTTGATCGACACCTTGGAGTCATTAAAAGTATTTTCTACTGTAGTTGCTGATACAGTACCAGTATTATCAACTGTAAAACAGAGAGAAGCAGAACTTTGTGTGAACAGAATACTCAGTAAGGCACAATAGACAGTGGGTTAACGATTTGACAGGGCAGCTGGCCTCTTTCATTGATCATATTTCTCATTTCATTGTTTTTTTCTTCTCTTTGTTTTATTGTTTTCTCATCTGGTTTTTCATCTGTTCTCTCTTCCATTGGACTTCTCAGGGTATTCTGTCACAAGTAAGTTTCTGTCCTCCATGTCTTGGCTGCTTTATATTCGTCTGCATTTTGTCTCCATCCTCCCGTTGTATTTTACCCTCACCGTTCTCTGTGTTAAAAAAAAAAGAGTGGTTACTAAATGATGCTACAGCCAACTGGATGTAAGAACTGATCACACAGTGTTCCACAGAATCATCATCCAGTGCCCCAGAACTATGAATTTTCTTTTTCCCCCCAACCAATCAGCATTAGTTTCTTCTTCTTTTTTTTTTCCTAATATAGCAAATGGAATACTTTTATGCAGTGTCAGGATCATTTTAGAGATATATGTGTGATGGTCTTAAAGAGCAGGTTGTTTTCTGCAACAGTCCTGCTTGTAATTCCTGTTTTTTTAGTGTTTTTTGTCTCATGACGCCTTAAAGGTGTGTTGTTTTTTTTTTTCTTTAAAAAACAATTATGTACTTCTGCATTGCAGTAGTTCAGTCAGGGAATGTTATATAAGGAATATACTCTCTTCAGACTATGACTTCGCCTAAATTAAAGACTATATATAGTTGCATTATCCGACGATGTATGGAATCATTTCTGGTAATTATTTTAAAAACCAGGTGTCTTTGCATATATTTTACGTATATTCCAGTCTTCAACTGCCCCAGATCTTTTGGGTTCCCATTCTTTTGATATTAGATGTTTTCAGACACAGAGATTAATATCTTGAAAGTAAGAAAATAAAAAAAACTACTAGTTTGCAGTAGGTTACTGGAGGATGGAGGTGTAGCTTTCTTTGAGAAAAGACTGTGCTTACTGTTACACAGGAAGAGGTTTTAATATCTCGTATAATAAAGAGACCCAGAAGCTCAATGCATTGTATCTTCCTTAATAGAAAAATACACGTCTGCACACACACAGAAAAACATTTCACCAGTTCACTTTATCTACAACCTTTAGAAGAATGTTGAAAAGTGAAAAAATACAACCAAATACTGAAACACTGCAGTGCAAGTAAACTTCAGCAGAAAAGTTTCCAGCCAGAACTAAAAAGTAGTGAAAACAGCTCGACATGCTTGCCAATTACATTTCAACACAATAGTGTTGAAATGTAAATCGGATTTGAACCTAGGACCTTTTTGTCCTGAGGCAATAGTGCTAACCACCAGTGCCTCATATTAAGAAGGTCCAGGGTTTGAATCCACCAGTCTGCTGGGACTTTTTTGTGTGGACTTTGCTTGTTCACGTTTGGGTTCTTGAGTATTTTGGCTTCCTCCCACGGTCTAAGGACATTCTAAGTTGGCCGTAGTTGTGAATGTGATCGTGTGAATGGTTGTCGTCTCTCTGTGTTCGCCCTGCGATAAATAGGCGACCTGTCCAGGGTGTACCCTGCCTCTCGCCCCAACGTACCCAGCTAATCGTGATTCTAAATTAGATAATCAGAAGAAAGATGGATAGATTTTCTGATTACATTTTCTTCAACACAGTGCACTGACTTCATAGTACCACTGTCAAAAGCTTCAGTTCCAGAAGCATGACTGGGAAATGTGCAGCTGTTTACATTGTGCGTATGTTTTCTGACGTATAATACTTTTAGGGACAAATAAGTTGCGTCTTTTTAAAAGAGAGTTAAAGAGAAGAATTTAATTAACTTGGTGTAAAGAGTGTAATAGTGCTGTAGCGCCTAAGTGTTTGGGTGAGTGTGTGTGTCTGATTGTTGTGCTTATAATTTTGTTAAGCGAGTAATTGTATGTTGTTGCTGTAAACAAAACAAAAGGCAGTTGCCATAGGTATAGTAAGAAATCAATATGACATGTTACAGTCACTACTGTACAAACAAGAATGCAGCTTTGGATCCTCAAAAGTCTTACAAGCGCTGCAAAATTATGGTAAATCTGGCCATAATTTTATTTTCATAAGAACTTCATTCAATGCTACAGGCCTGAGCTTTCAAAAGATAAAGGAGCATAATTTCTGTCAACTTATAAGTTGTTCATTTCAGCCTTTTATGCATTCTAAATATCGAGGCGCTATAAGCAGCCACGGTCTTAAACCCAGGTGGGCTGTCAAGACCTGAGCCCAGTATTTCAGGCAAGCAAATTCTAAATCTGTTTGCAAATATCTAAAATGCATGTATGCATGTAATGTGGGAGGAACCTAGGGAACCACAGTTGTGAACCATTTGGCTTCAGTTGGATCAGTGGGAGGACATGAACAAACCTATTCCTGTAAACTGCCTAAATGTTATGATTCTTAGTGTATTTGCAGCCCACTAGTTTACAATATCTAACACTTGAAGAACTATGAGCTTTTTAAACTCTTAGATGAATAGCTGTCAGTGGTTGTCAGCAAGAAGAAATGATGTCTTAGCAAGCGCTCACATTTCCATTGCTGTTAAAGAGCAAAGATCTGAGCTTAGTGAGCGTGTAAATGCTACTGGTTGGGCCAGAATTACACAGTAAGTTTTGTGTTCTTATAAGTGGCACAATGCACCCTGAGAGAACCAGTATATAATCAGTATGAAAATATCAAATGGAAATATAAAATTGCATTTATTCATATCATTTCATGTCCATATTAACACATTAGATTTGATTTAGATTTGTCAGTGATCCAGGCAAATTCTTTATGACCAAGAGACAAAAAGAAACAGTCCCATCCTTGAGGGGGTTTTTTCTGTTGAGGACTCCAGCGCCTCTCATTTTGTTTTCACCATCTTTCAGTTTCATCAGAGATACCACCCCCTATTGCTGCCACCAGTATGGCCCGTAGTGAGTATGCCAGTCCAGCAGTGTGTGCTGTGTCTCTTTACCTCTCTTACCTGCTTGGCATTGCATCTAGTTTTCATTTATATTTGTTGTGGGTCATAGGAGGGCTCAGAATCCCTCTACAGAGTGAAAATTGACAAAGAAATCGAATAGGTTTGCTAATTGTCTCAAATACTTAAAAATTTAGATTTTTACTAACACTTAAAGGTTAACCATCTGACATAGTGTTGTGTTTGCAGAATTAACACAACTTGCCTGTTCATTAATATTCAAAATTAGATTCTTGAGACCGTTGTTGTGCAGTTGGAATATATGAGTTTGTTTTACCAGGCCTGCTTTATCTACTGAGCCGCTTACTTTGACAGGTGTAGAGGATACTTACTGTAGTTTAATTGCTATTTGTAGAGGTATCATGCTAACACCTTAGTATAAAGTTAGGTGGTTTATAGAAAACTCATACCACTACATCATACAAATTGTTTATGCTATTATTTGCTATAAACATTAAGGTAGTAGGGTCCATGCTAACACCTCATATTCTGTTTGTGTCATAACAGAATGCTGCAATTTCTATACTTTTACTGAGTAAAAACATTCGTAATTTAAGCAAATTCTAGTGTACTTACATATTTAGTTGATCTTAAAGTAGATTCAGTGAACATTTATTTTGCACCATTTTTTCTCCTAAAAACAAAGCTAAACATCAAATCAGCATATGTTCAATGTGCCATTTGTTCACGCTAACGGGCATGGCTGCTAATGACAAATGAAAGCTAATTTTCAGATGTATCTGTTTATTTTAAAAAAAAAAAAAAAAAATCAGAATCGTGCAAAAAAAGGGAAGACAAGCGCCCAAAAAATGATCAGACAATTTAGTATTAAGATCTCACATACTGAGGAGCTATTAAAGTATTGAAAGCTATTTCTGGTTCTTACCCTGTTATCTGTTTAGGTGAGACACAGCATATAGTTAAGCTGATCTGACAGTTGTTAAAGTACAGTTTGGTTGGTCCCGCAGTGTTGTTACATTCACAGCTGAACAAACCATGAGGAGCCATTCTTTAAAATGACAGAAGGATATCTGTCTTTTCGGTGAATCTTTCAGTGGTTTCATCCACTCAATTTAATCACAACTTGTTTTCTCCCAGATCGCTCATGAGTTGAATCCTCCCCTTAGTGTGCATTCACTCCATTTCTCTCTGAAAAGCCAGACAGCAGCGTGTTAACAGCATCTCAAAATCATCCTTCATGTATTGACTGGCTACGCCAGAGCATGGATAGCCACTGCCAATTGTTCTTTATCTGACTGGGACTGAAAGCTGTGACTAAGTAGGAAGCAGAGACCAGGATTTTCTAATGAATGTTTTAAGGGACCAAAAATAACTTGCTCTTCCACAAATACTTTTTGTGAATACTTAGCCCGTTTTCTGAAAAACAAGAAAAAGAGAGATCGCTGACACTGATCAACAAAGCCCAAGCAGACCCGGGTTGAGGTTTTTAACGTCATTGTGTGCAGTAAAATTTTAACCAGTAGCACTGCTAAGTGACTAACCTGTCTGACTGCTTATTGCTGTCATTTGTGGTTTTCACAGACCTTAAAACGTCATTTTGGTTAACAGTGTGCAGTGTGTAAAGAAGCATAACATGTGTGTTTGGTCACTGGAGTAATTGCTGTAAGTGTAGTTGCTCCTTTTAAGTTCCTGATGTATGATGTGTCTGCTGTGTGAGATCTGTATGTCTCAATATTGTTCCTAACAAGTCTTTCCTTTTTGACACACCATTTTAATAACATTTGTCTAATGCAGTTGTGACTATTCATTAGCTTGAAATAGGATGCAGCTGATGGCAGTGTATCTGCTCAGTGCTTTTACAAATGCATTCCTCAGAACAAATGCCACATGTGCTTTTTTAGATTGTCGTAGAACTTATTTCTTCAGATTTTTCATGTGTTCCTATTGTTGTCTGCTGTGTTGTGTATCATACTTAGTTGGCATGGTTTTATTCCCAAAGCTGCAGAGTTTCCTCTGTTTTCATTTAAGCTCTATTGTTACCGGAAAAACACAACAACTAAAATTGATTTGTATTGATTTTAAAATTGATTTTCTGTTCGACATGTCATTTATTTTCAAAGACAATCAGCCCTACTAGAATGGGTACAAGTTAAAATTCAGATCTGGCCAAATTGTTACCAAAATATATAACAGAGGGAAAAAAATGCCAGAGGAAAAGCTGTCAACTGGATGCATGAGGCAATTCTGGGTGTATAGTTTTGGCTGAGTCTTCAATATCTTAATTAGTTTATTTGTTTGGTTATTTACTGATATTCTCAGTGTTGTTAACAGCCATAACTAAATATCCAGTACCTCATATATTCAATAACATATTTTTTATATGTTCAAAAACTTCTGTTTATCAATTTACGATTTGTTTTTGTTGTTCTGTTTTGTCATTATGTCTTTAACCTTCTTGTTTTTGTTTTTTTATTATTATTTTGACATGTTTTCATCATTTCAAAATGTTTTGTATGTTTCCCATATGCCCCCCACCTGTCCCTGCTACCCCCCACACTTTCCCTCTTTTTCTTCTTCTATGTTATCCTTTCAACCATTCATGTCCGTGGCATCATGTGACTTTGTCATGTGGCTCTTGCATGGTGCTGATGATGTCGTCTTCGCTGACCAACAGAAGGTAAATTTCCTTTGTTTAGTTCGAGACCATTACATCAGCAATAATCATGCACAAGGCCTTTGTTAAATTAGGCTCATAGAAGAGGCATTAAAACATTTTCAGTTTTATTCATTTTAGCCATTTGTTTCATCTACGAGCCATTATGTAATTAAGTAACAAACATTCACTAACCATGACTTTCATAATCAAAGCGATTACTAATAATAATAACCACAATGATTATTTTCCCTTGCATTTATAGAGTAACACCAAATTTACTCTTGGTGCCTTGATTATTTGTGTGTGGGTGTGTGTGTACAGAACTTTGTAGAATGTGTTTGTGTGTGTGTGTGTGTGTGTATATATATATTGTATATATATATATATATATATATTTATATATATCTATATATATATATATATATATATATATAGAGAGAGAGATATATATATATATATATATATATATATATCTATATATATCTATATATATATATATATAGCTGAAGCTGAGCTTCAACTAAGCTAAAATTAACACCACAAACAACACTAATCTTCATAGAGCCAGCAATGCAAGAGTGATGTAAGTTTGAAGAATTAACATGTAGAATTTAGTTTTTTTCTCTGTAGTGCCAAATCACAGCACAACAGTCATCTTAAAGCACAATAAAACAGACAAAAGATTTTATACACACACTAAATTGATGCATAAGATCAGGTTCAGATCTGTTAAATGCACTTAAACAGCCTATATCCTTAACTTGGATCAATAAGTAGACCACTGCGTAATAAATAATGACACGATTTTGATATTTTCTCTTTCTGTAAGTGTAAATAACTACATTCTGAATGTGAAACATTCACATTTACAAAACAGTCACAGCTTGAAATGTCTTTTGAAAAAAGTCAGTGCGTTTTCAACAATGCATGTTAAAATTTGTAGATAACAGTGGGCCATTACAGGCGCAAAATCATTCCACACCCAGTATTCTGGAAATAAAACTATAATAGCGTTTTACTTATTCCATTCAAACAGCAAGCTGCAGAAGTGCTCACATTTTTAAACTTTGCAGACAGTTTCGCTCCTGTGTAGTAATCCTGGTACAACTGCATCAGTAATACCAGTGCATTTTAGCAACAAATTCAAGATATTAGTGCAATTTTTAAACTTTGCAAAGCCATTGTGCAAATTTTCCAGCTATGTCTGACACCTAGGCACTATTGGATGTGCTGCAGAGCAAAGTGCTACTGGATGCATATGCTTAATTTCATCTTTCTTTTTAAACATAATTTTTGAGTTCTCACCCTGGTTAACATAGAAGTTATGACTATACTTATGACTAATTAGAAAAATCTTTAACAAAGTCACACATAATTGTGTCATATTATGTTTCATGTAAAATGTGTTGTTGTTAACATGATTTGCCTTTAATATGGCCAAATGCCTTCACAGATAGCATTGCAAAGCATTTTTTAAACCCCACTTTTCCGGTTTTGTAACAAACCATTTCATTATGAATTATTTTTAAACATCATACGAGCAGCCCCACAAAGTGCCACTAACCACAATTTGCATTGCATGCATTGTTAAATATAGTCACCCACAAGGCTAATGTTTCATATTCTTCCCCTGGAGAGCTACATAGCTCACACTGTTTTACCGGTTGGACTCACAACAATCCTTTGCATTACTGCAGCATGCAAGTTTACTTCCTTTTTCTTGTTGCATCCTCTTTCTTGTTGTTCAGCTGTTCTTAAAGAAAATGTCTGTCCTACCTGCATGTCTCTGTATCTTTGATGTAATGTCTTTCTAGTAGTTTGCATATGCAGAAGTGCTAACATTGGGTACATCTTTTTAGTATTGGGAAGTCATTGAGACGATTGGGCAATGTTAAAAACATTTATCTTTTTTTTTTTTCATTTGACCTGAACAAAGACTCCAACTTTGAGACATTTACTATTTTCAAAATTCACCTTTCTTTTGTATAATTCATACTGTTATTAATCGCTCACATACAGCACTTATGAGATGATTTTCCGTTATGATCTATGAACTCGTAAAACTTTGTTGTCTTTGTGATTAGCTTGGGCTCCATGTGGAACCACACCATCCACATGCATGTTAGAGCGAGGCCATGGGTGGTGTTTCACACGATACCCTTCTGAATTTACAGCAGTGGGCCAAATTTCAAGCTTTGCATGTGTAGTTTTTTTCATTCTAATCTTCCACTTTCTCTGTTTTAGCCTTCAGAAATATTCACCTAACCCAGAATGATGCAATGCTGAATGTATCAATGTCTGCCTGTCACAGAGTTACTACTGCTGTAACTAATACCGTCTGATTCACTTTCAGCCTGTGTCATGCTCACTTCTGCCTGGTGGGATGCAGTTTTTAGAAAGTGTGCTTATTTGATTACTTCAAGAAAAAGTGCCTTCATGCATATTCATTTAATTAACTACAACCACTAACACTGATGTTTAAATGTTAAATACTGAATACGTACTTTTTTTTATCACAAAATGGATAAGTGTGTGTGTGTGTAATATATATATATAATATATATATATATATATATATATTAAATAAAAATTAAAATATATATAGATTATAATATATATATATATATATATATATATATATATATTAATTCTATAATTTTTTATGTATGTATGTATATGTATGTATGTTGATATTATTATAATAAAACACCAATATATATATATATATATATATATATAATAGATAGATATACAGATAATAGAGAGAGAGAGAGAGAGAGAGAGAGAGAGAGAGAGAGAGAGAGAGATATTTATTGATTTTTTCTCCTTATTGAATTTCTATCAGTAGCATGCATGTAGAAATTGCAGCACCACTGAGCCTTTCTGTTACCTGCTGGTGTGGCTGTTACTTTTAAGATTGTTAGCACAGGGCAAAGATTATAGCATCACAAGGTAGGGGATTTAATAACATATTAACAAGGCTAACTGTGTGTAACCAATATGCACATAATTGATGAGTTTGGGTTGTTAGTCTCCACCCTTATTGCCTTAACAGTGCCACGAAGAGCTACAGCACACACACACACACACACGCAAAAAACACATTGACCTCCTTTCCCACAAGACTATGTAAATGTTATTAAAAGTAATAGAGGAACATGTCCAATCAAGGCCTACAGGCTCATTATCCAGCGACCCAGCAGTCATTACTCAGCAGGACAGAGCAGATAATGAGGGCCTCAAGGAGAACAACACCTCCGCCTGTGGTTCTGAGGCAGCCACGTTGACCTCTGTTGCTTCTAGTCATTCTGGAAGTAATATTCCACCTAAAGTCTGTCTTTAATTATCAGATACTCTTCTCATGGAGGTTATATTTCTTTCAGTGGGTCCTCCAAACTTAACACATAGATGTACTATTTTGCAAATCTTTTGATGGGTGTTCCAAAATTGTTGCAATTTTGTGTGCCCCCTGATCTGGCACTGCTGTGGTTAAAGTTTAAGTTTAGGCACAAAAACGAATGGCTTGGGTTAAACAAATAGTTCAAGGGTAATGAAAGATTTTGGTTGTTGAGAAATTAACATTAACTAAAACTTACTAACCAAGTTATTATTTGAGGTGAAGGCTTGAAAATTATTAATGTTATTGATCTGCTCCTGGTGGACACTGGTGAAAAAAATGTGTCTATTGTAGCGCAGTTTTCTTTTCTTTTAAGATAAAAAATTTCAGAGATGTTAATTAATGTAGGCAGTTGGTTTTTAAAGGTAAACATGTGTTGATGCAGTAACCACCGTTTGTCATCTAATCATCATTCCTTGGTTTCCTGTTTAGGGGAACCCAGTGCTCCCAAACTGCAGGCCAAGGTGCACAGCCCGGGCAATTCTCTTAAGATCAACTGGATCACGCAAGATAACGGTGGTTCCAAGATTAAACATTACCTGATCAGATACAAGGCTGTGAGTATTTCTGGCAATGGGGGTAACTTTTTGCATTTGATATAAAAACAAAAACAACATAAAAAAAATAATAGCAGTTACAATAAAGTAGTCAAATCTGGCTACGGCTTTGAGCAGGGGTAAATCTACTGGAATCTGTCAAAATATGTGCCTGCTAATGACTCCAAAGCATTTTAAGCCACCTCATCATCCAAGTCATTTCCCCCTTTCAATTTGTATCTTCTACCTCTTTGGAATTAACAGTTGTCACTAGGAAGAAAGGGTGACTGTAATTAGACCAACCAACCCTTACAGCAGACTAGTTTTCCTGCAGTGGCGGTAATATAAAGTTATGTTCTCATGCAGCACTTGTCCACTGAATTATAACTATGTATTCAAAAAGATTCATTACTAACCTGATGGAAAAGATAAATGCTTAAACACCACTTTCATTTATTCTTATAAGATCTACTTGTGTACAATTTGTGCATACTTTAATTGGTGAGTACTTTATACATTTCATTATTTTCTTGTTTTTCCCTCATTATTAACTGTTTCGGACCAGGTTAATCTCTTTGGAACGGAAAAACATGTTGAGAAAGAACATGTACTGCTTTTATGTCAGCTCAAGAACAGTTTGAGAAATCGAGACATTTGTAGATGATCTAAAATGAGCTTTTCCTTTGAGAGTGTTGAATTGTTCCTTTCTAAATCCATTTCTCAGAAGCGTGTATCTGACTGGAAACCAGAGCTCCGCCTTCCCAGTGACAGTACCTATATCGTCCTGAACAGCCTGGAATGGAACACGGAGTATGAGGTTCATGTGGTGGCAGAGAATGAGCAGGGCAAATCTAAGCCTGGCATCCTCACCTTCAAGACAGATACAGAGCCCACAACTGTCCCAGGTACTATTCCCATCATACCTACCCCAAGCATCCACACACACCAGCCACAGTGCACATAGGCTTCTACCGTGACCAGAAAATCTATTATTTGGATCTTTGACTTTTGCTAGGTGCTTATTCAAAGCTTGCTGGCTGCAGGGTCGGTCATGAATAATCTATCTCTGTCTGTCGCATGGCAGAGGTGTATTGTTTTTACTGTCTAAACGACTATGGTTGACTAGTATCTCGTGAGCGGGAGACCAAGGTGGCGCGACTCATATCGTTATAGAATCCAGCACTTAGGTAAGTGGCCAATCAACCAACTCACCCTAACCAAGAGCCGGCTCTCGGGAACAGTTGAACGCGGCGAAATGCACCCCTACTTCAGCACCGGGCCCAATATTAACTGAACCTCCAGAGGGAGGACGGCGCCGACAACGTGAACCGAGTGAAGGCTCTCATCTCGGCCTCCACTATTGCTTATGGCGGAGCCTATGTCTGTAGCGAGGAAAGAAATTCGAAGTACTCTCAGCCAATCACGGAAAGCCCCCAGAACGAGCATGGACACCGAGTTTCCCGTTGGGAATGTCACCCATGCGGGAAATATGCTTTTTCTTTAGTTCCTTCGAGCTTGGTCGGTTAGCTACACGAGTGAACTTAACAAAATTGGCGCCCACTATGGGTCGGAAACTTCCAGCTGTCAATCCGGGCAATTCCATAACCACACCTTCAACCTTCTGAATCATAGGCGGTGTTCGCCTGTCAATGGCCTTACACTGGCCGAAAGAACGTCCAGAATGTGCATCCCGACCGCAACTTTGTTACAACGCAAAAAGTGCCCCAAGTAAACCTATTATAACCGCTGTGTCAAACCAAAAGACCCGCGCCCCGGGTGCACAGTTAGTGGTAACTGTAAGGGCGCTTACATTTCATGAACCTGGTGCTAAACGGCACAGTAGTGTAACTGTAAGGTTTATAATCCAGGCATTATATATAATATCACACAAAGACTTGATCTAATGGTGTATTTTGAAGAGCTACTTTTTGGGAGTTGGGGATTTTTTAAAATGAGATTTACATTTAAGGAACTAAACTAACTTGCCCACAAAGTTTACTATAGTAGATGACCTTAAAATGCCCAGTGCAACTAATCTAACTTTGTTCTACAATAGTTAATAAGCACAGGCTTTGTCCTTGTAGGCCAAAATGGGTTTTTAAATGATAAACCAAAGACTGAACATGGCATGTGTGCACCAAAAGTTTGATGTCAGTAGAAATACACAAGTGACTGCAAGCTGGGTCATTTGAAATCTATTTTCATTTTACCCCCAGCCTACGCTCTTTGTTTCTAGTTCTCAGTCAGTGCCACACTTTTGTTTTCTTTAATAATGTCATCTCCACTAAATCCTCGTTTCCTGGAGGAATGAATTTCTATGCACAGAGCACCTTTTTAAAGCACTGCACTCGCTTCAAAAAATGTAAAGCCCAGGCAGCACAAGATCAAAAGTAGCTAATGAGTCCATATGACATGCAGAGGCATCCTCACTGCATTTCTCCTTGGATATCCGGCTCTTCCAAGTCTCATTACTTCTTATGAGGTGACTTCAACTCCTCAATCTTAATGTCCAATGATGTGAGAACAGACTTCAGTCAGACCCAGAGAAAACAGAGTTTTGTCCATTTATTCCCAAATACATCGTCTACACAGGTGGTCACGGTCGGCCTTTGCTCTGTTGCTGTGTTGTGTGTAGAGTGCACTTTTTAACTTGGGCTGCCTCCCCACTTGAATTAGCTAACAGTTTAAAATTCTTTGACATCTTACACTCTGTCTGTGTTTCTTTTTTTTGTTTCATCCTGTTTTTCTTCCATTGTCACCCTCCCTTTCACTATTCGCCTGCCCTTTTCTTCTTTATGAAAGGAAGTGTTGATTGCCTCAGTCATATTTTCTTTTAACTGTGAAGTGCACACTGTGAAAAATATTTTACCTGAAAAATCGAAATCACTTATAAAATGGCCCAATCTTTAAACTAATGTGCCCGAAAACAGCCCACAAGTCAGAAACACAAATTAAAATCTGTGCCTTGCTATAGATTCAAAAGTACTGACAGAACATTTTTATAAAATAATACAAAAAAATTAAGCCATCAAGTAGTAGGACAATGCTGTAATCATTTCCTACCAGTCAAAGCAGACAACTACACTCATCGGCTAGTTTTTTAAGTTCACTTTGAAAGTCTGAAAGCTGCCCTGTTGCTCTCCCCAAGCTCTCCCCACGCCCTGGAGACCGCCCGGCTTCTGTCAACTCATGTGTTTCGCCTCCACGGGATCCCTGCTGAAGTGGTCTCGACCGAGGCCCACAGTTCACGTCACGTGTTTGGAGGGAGTTCTGCACCTCCTTAGGGGCCCAGGTCAGTCTCCAGTCTCTCGTCAGGTTTTCATCCACAGACCAACGGTCAAGCAGAACGGGCCAACCAAGAACTCAAAGCAGCTCTCCGTTGCTTGACGTCCACTAATCAGACCACCTGGAGCGAGCAACTGACGTGGGTGGAGTATGCTCACAATAGCCATACCTCGTCGGCCACAGGCTTCTCTCCGTTCGAGGCCTCCCTGGGGTACCAACCTCCCCTGTTCCCTGCAATCGAAGGTGAGCACTTTGTACCCTCTGTTCAGCAGCACCTGCGGCGGAGTCGGCGCGCATGGCGGGCCACTAGAGCTGCCCTTCTTCGCACGACGGACCGGAACAAACGGCAGGCAGATCGCCACAGGACCCCGGCCCCGGCCTACTCACCTGGGCAGAAGGTTTGGCTCTCGACCCGGTATGTACCTCTCAGAACAGAATCGCAAAAGCTCTCCCCCACCTTCATTGGACCGTTCGAAGTGGACTCCGTTGTTAACCCCGTTTCTGTGTGTCTCAAGCTTCCCAGGACCATGCGTATCCACAATGTGTTTCATGTTTCCCAACTCAAACCCCACTGGGGAAGATTTTGGATGATGACACATTTCTTGAATTTGTTTGAATTAAACTTGTGACTGAAGTGCAGTCAAAGAGTGATTCAAAAGTACTCTGTGAATAGAATATCAAGTGAACACTTCACCCTGCCCAGGATAGGGTTACTGAATAGAGTGGCCCCATGGATAGGCTCCATCGGACCTGGCCCAGCACAGCCTGAAAAAGGGACATGGGCCCATCCTTGTGTTAGGCCCACCACCCGCAGGAGGTGCCATAGGGGTTGGGTGCAATGTAAGTTGGGCGGCAACCAGGGGCGAAGGCTTTGGCAGACCAATCATTGACAACCGAAACTAGCAATTGGGACTTGGAATGCCTCCTCTCTGGTGGGCATGGAGCTTGAATTACTGTGGGAGGTTGAGAGGTATGGTCTAGATTGGGGATGGGTATCATGATAGCCCTGCAGTGTAGCGAAATGAAGGATGATGATGGCAGCAGCAGCCGTTCTTCTCTGCGTGAGTAGCTTAATGTTGTTGTGTGTAATTTACGTTGAGTAGGCTAACCACGTTATTACATTAATGCATGTAAGGTGAACTAGCAAACATCATCATAGCTACATGCTGCTGTCTTCTTGTTTGATGGCAGATACTCCCTTCACCCTGGCCAAAAAGGCTAAAATGACCAAAGAAAAAGAGGGAAACAGCTAAACATGAGAGGTTTTTGGACAAAGTTTGTGTTTTCCATTGTTTAAGCACTGCTTCCAGCCAAGAGTGATACCATATATGCCCCATAGCTGCAGAAAAGGCTAACATTGTTATCTTTTTACAAAAAACCAGCTGAACATGAGAGGTTTTTGGACCAATTTTGTGTTCTCCATTCTTTAAGCACCGGTTTGAGAACCGTTTGAGCACCGGCACCGTTTCAAAAGTACCGATTTGGCACCGGTATCGGATAAAACCTAAAC